GCATATAGGACAGCTCGCATACTGATCGCAAGTGGAGACCGGTTCCAGAGAAGGCTGTCTCCTCTCACTCGTTCGTTATTTTGTGGTGTTTGATTGGACTGGTAAAGCGTCAAATTTCTCGGGGAAGCAACAAATACAAAGGACAGCTCGGTTTCAGCTGGACGTCACAGATGATCTATCCCTTTCATCCAGTAAGCAAGTGAGGGAGTAGACGGCCAATGTTGCCGCATCCTCTGCAGAATAATAATAATAATAATTTATTCTCAAATATTAAACATGTTACAAGAGACATGCCAATTTACAGGCAAGATCAAAAAGTTAAGATTAGCAACATATTTCTTTTAAAACGGTACGCAGTTACTGAAACATTTCACAAGATTCATTGTATTCCTAAAGATGGAATGTACAATGCGAATAAGTGGCGCAAGTTACGAAGGTTGCGTTACGACAATCATCTTATGGACTGAGAAACGATTCATGGTAGAGATAGGTCTTCATATAATAAGAAGTGATGCGGTAAATGTACAAAGGTCTGGTTAATATTCATCAGCTAATGATTTCACATGTTCTTGGGTAGGGTAACCAAGTCTACGGCAAATATCCAGACTAATATATGAGGATTTGAATAAGGTTCTGAAAAAAGAGGAATAAAGAAAACGGGACGAGGAGCGGAACAGAAAATATTCTTGTTCAAAACCGAACAACGGCTTCGCACATACATTTATGGATAAGTAAGTATACATAAAGGAAATGTAAGATCCACTGACACAACGTAAAATGCACCAGCCAAATTACACTTCATGTAGGATCATTGGAAGATGTGCAAGCCCTAATTCGAAATCTTCAAATCCTTAAGAAAGTAGGTAGGCCAAAGAACCTATTGCCTAGAGAACTGGAGACAGTCGTCTGAGGATTTTTAGCAGAAACTGTTTCACCTCTGTCACTGATTTAGTTTCTGCAAGTGGAATTTAGACTCCACCTGTAGACCTTTCGGGGAGACTGCCGTTCCCAAGCCCGTATAAAGGAGGAGGGTTGGGCATGTGGTTGGCGCCGCCATCATAATTAAAAATTAACTTGCCGAAAAACGCTAACCAGAAAAAATAATTCGAACCACTTAAACTCTGCCCTGGCTGTTGGAAGAACAATTATGACGTCACGTGATGAAAGCCGAGTTCCCGTAGAAGTCACGGGACTGATGCCTCTTCTGACAACCAGAGCAACCATTCAAAAGAATGGAACGTTCGTACATTTTGGGAGACTGTAAGACTATTTCAAGTTGCGGCAGAAATGAAAAGATACAACCTCGAGGTGTTCGGCATCAGTTAAACGCATTGGACACAGGTAGGACAACTGAGACTTGCTTCAGGCGAATCGCTGTTATACTCTGGTCATGAAGAGGATAATGCTTCACATACACAAGGAGTTGCACTGATGCTGTCCAAACATGCACAAAAGGCACTGATAGGATGGGAATCTCATGGACCCAGGATCATTAAAGCATCCTTCAAAACAAAGAAAGAGGACATTACAATGAACGTCATCCAATGTTACGCACCTACCAATGACTACAGTGCCGACTATAAAGATCAATTCTACGAAAGGCTGCAGTCAATCGTCGACGGATGCTGACCGAACGATTTGACGATTCTTACGAGAGACCTGAATGCGAAAGCTGGCATCGACAACACTGGATATGAAGAAATATTGGGACGACACGGACTGGGAGAAAGGAACGAAAACGGTGAGAGATTTGCAAACCTATATGCCTTCAAGAAACTGGTCATTGATGGCACAATATTTCCGCACAAACGCATACACAAAAACTATATGGATTTCACCGGACCACATTACTCAGAACCAAATCAACCATATCTGTGTCAATAGAAGTTCAGAAGGACAATGGAGGATGTGAGAAACAAGAGGGGAGGTGATATAGCCTCAGATCACCACTTGCTGGTCGCTAAAATAGAACTGAAACTCAAGAAACACTGGATAACAGGGCAGACAACATCACAAAAGTTTAATAAAGCACTTCTTCGGGATACCTCAATACAATACAGTTCTGTTGTATGGGGCGGAAACTTGGAGAACTACCAAAGCCATCATCCAGAAGATACAAGTGTTTATTAACAGTTGTCTACGCAAAATACTTCGGATTCGTGAGCCAGACACCATCAGCAACAACGTACTGTAGGAGAGAACAAACCAGATTCCAGTGGAGGAGGAAATTTAGGAAGATGCGTTAGAAGTGAATAGGACACACATTGCGGAAAGCACCTAACTGCGTCACAAGACAAACCCTCACACGAAACCCTGATGGCAAAAGGAAAAATAGAAGGCCAAGGAACACATTACGCAGAGAAATAGAGAAAGATATGAGAAGAATGGACAAAAATTGGACAGAACTAGAAAGGGAAGCCTAGGACAGAGTTGGTTGGAGAGAAAACTGTTGAGCGGCCTATGCTCCATTGAGGGTAACAGGTGTAAGTAAGTAAGTGAGTAAGTAGAATTTAGTATGTCTATTGAAAGTATCGTTTAGTAGTTTGTTACCATTTTTACTAAACTTTTTTATATACGAAAGCTGCACTCATCGTAGTAAATGAATCTTTGACTCACCGACGCTTGAAGGGATAGGACAATCTAGTAACAGCCTGAAAGCTCTTAAACCATTTTTTAACACTAGGAAGTTGGTTCGCAGGTACTCAACTATTATTTAATGACTAGCTAAAATATATTAAGTACTTGATTAGAAATTGTACGTATTCATTCAAATAACGGGACATACATGCTCATAAACAACTACCAACTGACTAGAACAAAAATGAAGCGCTAGGGAAACAAGTGGCTTATACTAGCTCGTGAAAAAGATATTGGATATTGGATATTTTATATGCACCGCCAAACTACATATACGCTACATATCAAGGCGGCAAGAGGTAAGGGCTTCCGACTATAGTTTGTAACGGTTTATTTGTATGATTAATCTTCTAAGTACTTCCATCGTACTCGGCTTCAATTACTACACCTAAAATCTTTCGGTGTATTAATTTTTGGGGGTAGGCCGAAGCAGATTGATCTACTAAATAATCAAAATCAGTGATCCAAAAGACTGATATTAGCAAAATTAGTCACAACTAAGGTGCCTTCCGAAATGCCTCATACGGCAATAAAGGCGAGTCGTTTTTCTTGCCTCTCCGTAAGTAGTCAAAAAGTGCACACTACTCACAAGCGTCTTTATGTTTCTTAAAGATACCAGTTCCTTGGAATCAGTAGTTTAGATAGGGTGAAGTTTCTCTTACTCAGTTCGAAAAATTTATTAGGCCTGGTCTTAAGAACTGAGTGTAAAGGATATCGACACGTAACGAATCTAATGTCATTCTACTGCAGAAGTAGAACGTCCTTCACTATAATTTTAAACCAGCTAAATGAAACCTAAACGAAGAAGTTACCTAGTTGCTATTTGGAACCTAAGGTTTGAGAATCGCTCACCAACTTGGTTTATCGTAACCCAATCTTTTAGTAAATATGATAATAATGATTCCTCACCCATTTACTATTGGTACGTGCTTAGTCCTGGGCAAGTCCACTGTACTCATATAATAGCAAGCTGCTTACATACATACTTGATAATACTCTATAAAAACAAGTTGTGACCTAAAAATGAGGCCATTAATGTCTGACACCTCATCACGTCATATGTCTCTAGACCTGAGTGAACGCACTGTTAGTCTACTTATTACTTCGTAATCGTGAGTGTGGTTTTCCAGTTGAATCTCAAACTACCGTACAAACGTCTTTAAAAAATCAAAACGCGTGGTTGATTTCTTCAGGGATTAGTCGGCGTAGTCACCTGAAAAACGGAAATAACTAGTCCCCGACATTCTTTTACACTGTCGTCCAGCAATAACCTGTACATTAAATGTTCCCTAGAAGTTTATGTACTACTAATTCGAATGAGGATAACCTGTATCTTTAACATCGAAGCTGAAGTTAACATCAGTCACTTAGTCAGCTGCAACTTGAAACTTCGTACGTACGTACATTAGTTCAAGTTGCCATATCACATCAGCACAGAGATACAACTGTCAGTTAAAATCACAAAAAAGTAGAGGTAGTTTAATGGTAAAGGAGAAGATTAGGGTTCGACGATATTATTCAAGTAGTAATTCAGTGAAATAAATTTAGAAAATCTTAAAATTTGAGAGAACATAAGGAGTGAATACACCTGCTCCATTGCAAACGACCTTGAGCCATCGGTTATTATCGTCTCGCGGGCCCCAACCAGGTAGTCTACACTCACCAATAGGACTCAATCCACTTTTAAATGACCTCATGGACTTGTGCCACGTTTTGGTCTGGCCGCCTCCAGCTTTCTTCCTACCTATCCCTACATCACAATACATCGCTCGTCGTGTCTGCTCTTCACGAGTTTTAGTTAGCTGTCGATGTATTATTAAAGCTAATTCTTTAGATACTATTAGTCTTGCTGATTCCTTTGTGATTGTCACAAGAGGACTTTTGTCCTTTCTTATGAATTGGGACAGTCAGGGGTTAAGACCATTCGGATGGGATCACTGCCAGTTCCCGAATTGTACCTAAGATCTCAGTCAATCTCACTACTAAAACTGGCTCACTATTCTTAAAAATCTCAGGGGTTAGCCTACCAGGACCAGCTGCTGAAGTTAATATCACGCCGATGTGTAATTTTATCTGTCTTCTACTCTTTGTTCCACCAAATTTACAATTTCTAAACTCATTGCTTACAGATTTTCGTTGAATCTATCTTATTGTTTATAACGATGTTTTGTGGGTAGCTTATACTCGCTTTAGTGCTAACCATGCTCATAGAAGTTTTAACAAGATAGTTATGTTTCAAAAGTTTGAGTATTCTATTTTTATAACTCCAGATATACTTACGAAATTATAAATATGGCCAAGCAGTTGACCTAACGTTCCAAAAACGGATCTTCAAATTCTAGCGTAATTCAAGTTAATATATAATGGTTTGTTGACGTTTTAATTGTATAATCCCACTTAGGATTATCCCTCTGCACCTCCTGTGTATCATTCCCTTTTTCCTGATAAAGCTGAAGACAAACTTAATTCGAATAGAGCTGTTGAATCTACACAAATAGATTCAGATGATTTAAATAAATCTAATTCCATTAAAAAGGGCTTAAATACGGAAAGCAAGCTGGACCCTACATATACCGTTGAAGATGCTGTGGAGTCAGCCGGTTTTGGGAGGTTTCAGTTGAAACTCTTCATACTATGTGGAGCCATATCGGTAAGTGTTTTTGAAATCTAACATTAGAGTTCCCAGTACCTACTGTGCATTATTTCGATGCTTTGGAAAATAATTGGGATGAAAATTTTTGATAATACTTTTCTGTAACAACGAAATGTCAAGAGAGATGGATCTTTCATTTTTTTTGTAGAATATACGTTTCACTAATTCCGTACTTAAACATAATCCTAAGTATAAAGGGGTGCTTAAATACTTATGTAAATAATAAAGACAAGTGGGCCTTTCACCTAGAGGTTTAACCCTCAAAGCAGTGGAAGAAGATCCAGTTTCATGATACTCGGTGACGAACGATAGGTTCCTACGCCATCCGTTCTTTAGGGACTGTAGAGCTCATGTGCTCCATTAGTATGGAATGAGGGTTTTCTAACTCTCCTAGATGAATCCACCAAGGCACCAACCAACTAAATTAAAATGCTGAATGTTCGCTTTTCGTTGTCAATTTCGTAAACACCACTCCCGTCATGAGGAAGTAGTGAGTAAACTTCCATAGTAGTGGCTATACACGGGTGACCATTTGGGCGCATTTGAGAAAAAGCGGACCCCCTAATCTCGGCCGTACCAGGCTTTTAGGAACGAAAATACATAATGCACTAAAGAAGTTACACGGAGAAACTTCAAATTTCACGTGATGTGTATTTATCATTCACAACAAGCTGTTAGACAAACTTTGATTCATAACACACCCTGTTTTCGTATACTGTACACTTTAAATTTTAGCCAGAATCGTTACAAAAATTGTTGAAGAGGCGAAGATTGGTAAATGTTGTTCATCGAAAGCATACATTCCACTATCAAATGTGAAACTTGTCGGTTTAATCTCAGAGGTAGTTCCGAAGAATTTGCGAAATTAAGGCAAGATAAACTCAGCTGTTTTTTTCTGATCTTGGGTTTATGTACGTGCAAACTGCAAATAAGTTGAACTCTTAATCAATAATTTGTATAAACACCTACTTCACCTGTTTGTCCTTCGGTAACTTCCCGAACGTGCACGATTGTGCATGACTCGACTTCTTTTCATTTTCTAACTTTCTGTTTAGTTGTATAAATTTGATTTTTGTATAGTATTAGGACAATCGCAAATCATGTACCGATCTGGTATTAGTGCAAACAATAAGTGGACACAACTGCGAGTAACATCCTCGCGCCTGAACATTAAAGATTGATAAAATTAAACTGGGAATCTCCAATTTCTGTTATCATTTGGGCTGAACGTATCATTAAAGTATGATACATCTCATAAAATTTAAAATAGCATGGCACCAACAAATAATTGAAGTTATTGTTTTACCTTAGTTTGATTGCTAATTCTATGTATTAGGTTTGTAAAAAACCTTATCAAACTCATTAAAATTCTCGTAGGCTGCAGATGCCATGGAGATGCTACTGCTTTCAGTACTTGGTCCAGCATTACGATGTTACTGGCTTCTGTCATCTGGACAAGTCGCTGCATTAACGACAGTAAGTACGAGTTTTTTTTCGGAAATGTAAATGCCTATTCGTTTTAAATTTTCCGTATAATAATAGACTTCATGAACTAACAGAACTGCTTTTCTTTTATGATTGTTTTTCCGGGGTTACTTAGCGTCCGGTTTAGCTAAAAGTCAGTGAGTCAATAAGTAAAACGTAGAACTCCATACGTACGTACATTAGTTCAGGTTGTCATAGCACATTAGCACCGAGATGCAATTGTCTGTTCAAATCCCATGTTAGTAAAGGTATTAGAAGTATTAGCAGTAGTCGGAGAGATTAGGGTTCGAAGATATTATTCAAGAATCTAGAGGATTAGAATTGGAGAGAACACAAAGAGTGAATGCACCTGCGCCGTTGCAAACGACTTCGAGCAATGTCGTTCAAGGTCTCTAACCATAAGTTACTATAGTTTCGAGGGCTCCAACCAGGTGGTCTACAGTTACCAACAGGACTCAGTCCATTTGTCAGCGACTTCATGGATTTGTGCCATGTTTTGGTCTGACCGCCCCCAGCTTTCTTCCCGCCTACCCCTACATCACAATACACCGCTCTTTGAGGCAGTCGCTGGTTGAGCATACGTAACACATGTCCCAACCACCTCAACTGATGAAGATTCACTACTACATCTATTGATTCGCCATCCTTACATAGCATCCCTTTACTAACAACAGCATTGCCTATTCGGTTGTCACATGATACACGAGGAATATTTCGAAGACACCTATGATCGAAAACAAGCAACCTACGAATATCTCCTACTCTGACTGGCCATGTTTCACAGCCATAAAGTAGGACGGAGCGAACTGCTGCACAGTACACTTGTCCTTTAATCAGCAGACGGATATCTCGCCTACGCCATAAGTGACGCAAGTTGCCAAAATCCAGTCGAGCCTCCTGTATCTGCGCTGAGATTTCGTCAGTCACCAGGTCATCAGCGCTGATGAGACTCCCGAGATAGGTGAAGTGGTCGACACGCTCAACTTCTCCACTCCCTATCACTAGTTCAGGTGCCGATGCAATCCAATCCCGAAGCAACATTTTGCATTTCGACGGGGAGGGTCGTATCCCGAATATGCTTGCATGGTTGTTTAAGGTAGTCAGAAGACTGCATTTTGTCAGCGTTTTTACCGAATAGAAGTATGTCATAGACATATTCTATGTCGAGAAGTGAATATCCTGGAAAAATTTCAATTCCTGAAAAATCACACGAGGAAAGTGTTATCTATGAGTGCATGTCTATGACAAGGTTGAATAAAATTGGAGAGAGTGGAAAACCTTCACGATGGCCACTTGAAGTAATCGATTCTGATTGTGGTTTGTCTTAGTATTGTTTGGTATGTTTTCATTTGACTTTGTATTTCAATCTAGATAAATATCAATCCATTAAGTTTTGGCTTTATGGCTTAAATCGTCTTTATTTCATCTTGATTTTACCGAACACATTTAAAAACTCTACAGATAAGACTGGGTGTGGCATATACGTATGTTTATCAAATTAAAACTACGTTATCAAACTAGTTTTCGTACGTTTTTGTATGCTTCCTTCGAAAAATTTATATTTGCTCTGTTCCTATGATTAAAGCTATTCCTTTACCTTCCTCTTGTTATTTAGGTCAACATGTTCCAAAAGACTGAATGAGTTAATGCAAAAAAGGGATGATGGAAAATAGCTTGCACAAAAATAATGTAGTATTTAATTCCTAATATAGAATAGAGGGTGAATGTGTCTGTGTGACTGGAATCGACTTTAAGTCATATCTCATAATCCCTCTAACAATCAGCCTCAGGATCTCAGTCACCAAGCGTGTGGCGATTCATTGCAGTCTAGGCTACAATTTGCTGACTAATTCCAGGACTCTATGTCTATTCTTAGGCTCCTTCCAATCTACTAATATTTTATTCCACATCATGCATCAAGTTAGGCTGACTTGACATTCGTAATTCGTTTTCCTAACCATTTCATCAAAGATTGTTCAAGTGAAAGATTTAACGTGTTCCCAATGTTACTCATTTGTTGATCCCGTTTCTCCTAGCTAACCAACTTTTCAGTTGATTGTATGTCACAGTTCGTCTCACATATCTCTCATCAGATAACATTATATCTGTGATTGACTCAGTGAAACAAATCAATGTCTCATTGTTCGTCTCTGACATATATTCTCTCAGTTAGAATCACAGCCCGTAAATCTTAACTAGGATTGTAAAGGAGTTTCGTCCTCTGAGCGTGTCATCCACAAGCGCTCCATATTTTTCACAACTCAGAGAACGAAACTCCATCACAGTCATCCACCTGAGCCACAAATTTTCTCCACCATCTTAAATAGAATTAAGGGTTTTCTATACGCGAATTTTCGGAAGGAACGCCAGGTATTTTTTGGGATATAAGCTTTTATCCTTTTGTGTTTGGTGATTGTACTACCTTTCATATATAATAGCAGAAATCGAAATAGTTAGATGTAATAAACTACCGACTGTGAAATTATTGGATGATATTTAGTTGCTTTGTTCTTTGATATGTTGTAGGTTGTTTTTGCTGGATTCTTATTTGGAGCTCCCTTATGGGGTTTTATTGCAGATAGATTTGGTCGTTGGCCGGTAAGCTTTCAGGATGTGGAAATTATAACTTTGTATCTAGATGGTTCAATCTGTTTTTAAATTGTCCCTAAATCCGTTATTATTATTATTGTGTTGACGAAGAATCACAGTGTATCGCTCTTAGAAATTCTCACTCCTTTTCAATCTAGTGTGATAGCTGTATGCTGAAAATTTCTCTATTAGGCCCTGTATTTTCATTCTCTTGTCAAAATCTTTCCACGGTTCCTATCAATACATATTTCGAAAATAACTTACTGAACATTTCACGTAGTATGTGTATATATGTATTGACACTCAATGTATCTATCAGTTCAAACACTCAGTGTACCTGTTTCTTTAAGACTGACATTGTTCTTGGTATTATGTCAACCTAATGTTTTCATTCGTCATTAGTATTTTCCTTTCTTGCGTTCTGATGCCTGATATTATATTTTCATTAAAAAAGTATCTTGAAGCTGATGATTTTAGCGGAGTGATATATTCAAGAATGAAGTTCATAGACTGGTATTGATGCTAAAACCACGTCGAACCAGTCTCTAATTGGCATAGTTATAGCACTATGGCAGCAGTGCTATGTAATACTTTAGAAAACAAAAATAGTTCGTTACCTAATTGTAGATGATCTTTCCACAGGTTTTGTGGTGTTTAAGAAAACTCGCCGAAGAGTTACCATCCACTTGCTAAAATCCGTTTACTTTCATGCGAATTGTGTTACATCTTTCTGTTCATTCCAATTGTAAAAAGGTGCATTAGTTTCCGAATATTCAGCTTAAATCAGTCAAAGCATTATATTTTCTTAATAAATCGTGGTCATACCATTAAGTCAGAGGTCAAAAAACCCCAATTCTTAACGGCTGATCTCCAAGTGCACCCAATATCTAGTCATTTTTCTGTGTATCGCCTTCATGTAGAGCTAAGAATAGGCATTTCTCTTGTCAGTAATTGAGAGCTGGGCGAAAGGTCTTTGGGGACTTAATAATAGTTTGATTAGAGTTTTTGTGCATCGTTTTCAATCTTGTGTTCATTGTTACTTTAATATTTCGATTTGCGTAACTAATATTAGTCATAGAAATTCATATAACTAAGAGCTTTGTTTTCTTGAACAGACTTTATTGATTGTTCTATCAATGATAACTTACTTCGGTATCATCACAAGTTGTGCTCCTACTTATATTTGGGTTATAATATTACGGCTTCTGGTTGGTTTTGCTATTGGTGGTGGGAATAGCAGGTGAGTTTTCTCAACCGCATTTCTTAAATTGCACATTAGTGATGATTGCACGATCATTTTCTTGTGTAATAAATTTTCGACTGTACTTGACATATGTATGTTTTATACCCTGACAGTCACAAAGCAATGTATGAGGTAAAACAGAAAATTCTAAAATGATACAGTTACAATTGTTTAAAGTACGCTTCGAATTCGTAGGAAATTCGGAAGCTTTTTGTACTACATTTGATAATGTATCAATGTAGTTTTTAATTGATATAAGAGTTGGAGATCATTATTCGATAATAACTTTATTATTCAGATAGTTTTTATCTGACAAACAGCAGTATTTACTACCAGTATTTACGTACAATAAGTTTATTGTTTTTGGAGAATATTGAATTGGATTCAAATTTTAGCCAACCAGATAACCGAATGACGTTGAAACGATATCATATAATGGTAGTATATTCTGAAAATAATAATTACAGAATTCTTGGCAGTTTCTAGGTATGATCCGCTTGATATGGCTAACAATATTAGATGTGAAGGACAGATATTTAATATTAGATTGTTCAAAAACTGTTTATGTAGTATATTTTTCGTATGGATTACAGCAATCCAAGGCATCATTTGTAAACTATCAGCCATAATTAAGTGTACATATCGTTGATGTATGAACGGTGTATTTAAAGTCATTTCCAGTGCCATGATGGATCAGTTTTAATCATCTAGAACCAGAAAAAAATAGCACAGAACACCGAAAACAGTAAATACTACGATAGGTCATTCAGGGCTATCACAATACATGTGTTAGATATTTTATGATCTTCTATTCGGGTCACATTTACAAAAGACGGCGCTAGTATAAAGTATCTGCAAGTAAGGAGCTCTAATTAGTGGGCTTAGTAATAAAAACCACTAAACATTGAGTTCCTACAATCTCACTCATAGGATGGGATATACTTATAGGTATAAGCATATTTAAGTCATTTTCTGAGGAGAAGTAAGCATCGATGCAGCAGACAAAGGATTTCTTCGAACCCTAATCTCTCCGATTACTTCTAATACTTTTACTGCCTCTACTACTATGGGATTTGAGTTGACAATTATATCTCTGTGCTAACGTGGTATGGCAACTTGAAATGCTGTACTTACTTGCAAAGTTCTAGGTAGCTGTTGATGATGATCATCATCATTCATTTCGTAGACAGATTGTGGTAAACTACTCCAGTCTCGAAAATTAACTGGTAAAGTAAATCATACAGAGAGAAGGTTAAGAATAGGATTATGTCATTAATTAGCGACAAAGAGATGCGGATGCTTTAATCAGGAGTTTCTGAATATTGAAATGCTCCATTGGGTATGAAAGATAGTTTACCAAGTATTCTGAAGACAAAGATTCGACTTAATTTTAGTCTCTCCTCTTCCATAAAGGGTCAAGTCCACGTTCATTGCATCTGAATTCACAACTTAAAGTACAATTAATTCCACGAAGGTGAAGTGTGAAACGCCCCTTTGAACGTATTCCAGTTTTAATTTATCCTTTATGTGAATGCTAAGAATAAAAGTTGAGTATCATAGGAGTGATCAGACACCTATTTACTTTTATAGAAGTTACGAATTATTCAACCCAGAAAACGGTGAGCCTCATACCGATGCAGTTTTGTTTATTGTTCGGCTCATGAGGAGAAAATGAATACATTACTTTGAGATCATCTACATACCGTACAGCAGCAATCTCAAATGTGGTTTATATGAGCTAAAAAGAGCAGTATGCGGATGGTTTATTCATATTTGCCTAAGCAATCACAAAAATCTTTTTAGTTGCAGATGTACATCGCGTCTAAAACGTTAAGTAGGCTTATTACTTCTTATTGACTAACCCGAAGTAAAGTGTGGTTAATCACTACCACTAATTTAATCAACGTATGCTTTTGATCAATTAAGTCGTAGCAGAATTTGTTCTTGGTGTTGTGTCTCTTACCTATGAAGAACTTTGTTTGTGAAGCTCTGTTCGTTCATAATACTAATTATTTTATCTGCCAAAGAAATTATATTAAATTTTTAAAGTTATTACATTTTTTATCATTACTCTTATTAATGATGTGTGCGCTACGCTCATCTTATTATTATTATTATTATTATTATTATTATTATTATTATTATTATTTTATCAACCACTCTGCTGAATAAAAATAAATGTCTTATGATACTCGCAACTACTCCCCTCATTTAGGATAGTTTAGATAAGCATTAGGATTATCTGTCGCTACTTAATAGTAGTGACTTTCTGTATTGTGGCTGATGGCATGCACAAACTTTAGACCGATTGTTTGTGAACAGCGAGGGTAGTGATTAGAGTTGAATGAAAGCATCGATTACATCAGTATTTGTATTACCGCATCTGTGGTTGATAAATTTGATTATCGCAGTTGACTTTCCCCCACCAGAATTCAGGTTTAAATCCCATCTGACTCACTCAGATATTTTAAAACCAGTTTTCCTAAATGACCATCAAAAGCCAGCAAACAATTATCTAGTTACAAATAAGCGTATATCATTATTTAATCCAATTTAAGCAAACGTGTATTTGCTGTGGTTTTCCACTTTTTAGGAGTCGTTATAATGCCACTTCTATGTATTTTTTCATTTCCTGTTTTTGTTTGCTTTATTTTTAGCTTCACATTATTCTCCGAGTTTCTGACCGTTAAGCACCGAGCCAAAGCTCTGTTAGCTTTCAACGTAAGTTATGTCATTTACTTATTGTGCAGTTTTTCTATGAAGTAATAAAATAGCTGATATCAATTAATTTCGACCAACTATTTAGGATTCCAACAAATACTACTCTGGACTAACAATTGATCGAATAGATTTCGTCCTCGTAGTATGAACTAAGAGTCAATAACTTCGTCAACTTTGGCTTTGCTATCATCGTAAAACGTCATCTTTTAACTGCAAGTACAGTGATTTATTTGACCTCATCCTAACAAAATTAAGAACCGTCCCAATTTACGCTCTATTTATCTGGAAGCTCTGCTGCCGCTTCTTGTGGCCTCGCTGGTGTATTTATGGGATTGATTCCTGGGGCAGAACTAACTTTCTTAGACTAGATTCCAGCAGATAATCGCTTGTGTGCTATCCGACTAAACCGAACAGTAAGGACTCGGAAAGATAGGGACCATCGACACTACCTCTTCGTCGTATCTGCTTACGTTTCCACTAACTGCAGCTCGGACGAGGTAAAAGATGAGTCTTACAGAAAGCTTTCAGACATCCACCGAAAGGTTGGCGCTGTGACATGGTAATAATGGCTGCTGACTTCAATGCTCAAGCAGGTATATCAAGTAAGAGGAAAGACACGTGGGTGGATCTTATGGTGTCATGCCTCGAAGATCAGATAATGGCGACCATCTGCTGCAGCTATGCTCAGATAATCTCCTATTTCTAGCAAACACTAACTTGAAACATAAGGAAAAACATCTTTTGGTATGGTTTCCCCCAAAGTCAACTCGATGCTGGACCCAACGAGATCAAATCTCTATCAGTCAATGATGAAGAGGCTCAATAGAAGACTGTCGTTTGTTATGGGGCACATGTTTAGATTCAGATCATGCTCCACTGTGAGCGCATATTTGTTTGCGGCCTGTTGGATTTCGGAGAGACATCGCAAGGAAACCTCTTCGGGTTCCACTTAATGATCGCATAACTAAGAATATATTTCAGGAGCAACTAGAAAAACAGTTAGATGGCCATGTTAGTAATTCCCAGCCTGAGGCATCTTAAAACAATATCAAAAAAGCTGTAGAAATTTCAGTGATATCTGCCATTAAGGTATACCATAATGCTAAAGAGAAGCCGTGTATCTCCGTAAAATCTACCGAACTGATAGATGCTTCGAAACTCATCCTGTCTGACTCTGAACATGACGAAGAGCGGAGTCAGCTTAAGCGCGGGCTGATAAAAAGCCTATGCAATGATCGCGAACAGTCGTGCGTAGCGAATTCAAGACAGATGGAAAAGGAAGTGGCGATAGTTAACAGTAGGCAACTATTCAGAATTATCAAGGAAACTGGTATTAGGAACCCAAATGTAAGTGAGACTATTTGGAAAAAAGATGAGCCTATTTTTCATTCTTTATCCAGGAGATTGGATCGACGAGCGGAGCACTTTAGGGATCGGTTCGACTGGCTTTCAGCCACACTTTGGTTACCCACGATCGCCATTCAACTTGAATGGCAAATCGATGTAAGTTCACCGACGCCTAAAGAAAGTGAAACAGCTATAGGAAATCTAAGGCGAGGTAAAGCATCAGACTCAGCACACGAGACCAGATAGGTCACAATCAAATCCTTCCTACACCCCGTAACATCTCTCTTATCTCCAAGACTAACCCTTCTCACATTCCTTTATCACCTCGCACCACCACTTTTAATGTTCGAACGTTGTATCAAATAGGATAACAAGCTTCCTTAGCAAGGATTTTAGAATCTCGCGCCATCGATGCGTGCTGCATCTTCGAAACGCACATACAGAATCATAGTGAAATCATTGACTTAATTTCATGTTGTCCGGAAAGAAAGTCAACTCGAATTACGCTTCGTGTATCCGAAAGCCTCACTGCTGCTTTCCGTGGACTCGCTGGTGTAGGTATAGCATTGAGTCCTAGGCCAGAACTAACTTTTTAAGACTAGATTCCAGTAGATGGTCGCTCGTGCGCTGTTCAACTAAACCGAACAGTAAGGACTCGGAAAGATAGGGACCATCGACACTACCTCTTCGTCGTATCTGCCTACGTTTCCACTAACTGCAGCTCGGACGAGGTAAAAGATGAGTCTTACAGAAAGCTTTCAGCCATCCTCCAAAAAGTTAGGCACTGTGATATAGTAATAGGCTCTCTTTACTGGTCCTGTACTCGAACACCACTGGTCGAGTTGGAGCTTACGGCAAACCACAATCAGAATCGATTACTTCAAGTGGCCATCGTGAAGGTTTTCCTCTCTCTCCAATCTTATTCAACCTTGTCATAGACATGCACTCATGGATAACACTTTCCTCGTGTGATTTTTCAGGAATTGAACATTTTCCAGGATATTCACTTCTCGACATAGAATATGTCTATGACATACTTCTATTCGATAAAAACGCTGACAAAATGCAGTCTTCTGACTACCTTAAACAACCGTGCACGCATATTCGGGATACGATCCTCCCCGTCGAAATGCAAAATGTTGCTTCGGGATTGGATTGCATCGGCACCTGAACTAGTGATAGGGAGTGAAGAAGTTGAGCGTGTCAACCACTTCACTTACCTCGGGAGTCTTATCAGTGCTGATGACCTGGTGACTGAGGAAATCTCAGCACAGATACAGAAGGCTCGACTGGATTTTGGCAACTTGCGTCACTTATGGCGTAGGCGAGATATCCGTCTGCTGATTAAAGGATAGGTGTACTGTGCAGCAGTTCGCTCCGTCTTACTTTATGGCTGTGAAACATGGACAGTCAGAGTAGGAGATATTCGTAGGTTACTGGTTTTCGATCATAGGTGTCTTCGAAATATTCCTCGTGTATCATGGGACAACCGAATAGGCAATGCTGTTGTTAGTAAAGGGATACTATGTAAGGATGGCGAATCAATAGATGTAGTAGTGAATCTTCATCAGTTGAGGTGGTTGGGACATGTGTTACGTATGTTCGACCAGCGACTGCCTCAAAGAGCGGTGTATTGTGATGTAGGGGTAGGCAGGAAGAAAGCTGGGGGCGGTCAGACAAAAACATAGCACAAATCCATGAAGTCACTGACAAATGGACTGAGTCCTGTTGGTAAGTGTAGACCACCTGGTTGGAGCCCGCGAAACTATAGTAACTTATGGTTAGAGACTCTGAACGACATTGCTCGAAGTCGTTTGCAACGGCGCCGGTGCATTCACTCTTGGTATTCTCTCAGACCCTTTATCTTCCTTTTTTCAAATTTATACTTCTTGAATATTATCTTCAACCCTTAGACTTTTTTATTACTGCTTATACTTCTACTACCTCTACTGTTTTGTGGTGTGAATTGAAAATTGCGTATGTGCTTATGTGGTGTGTCAACTTGAACTGAAGTACCTTCATACGTAAGTTCTAAGTTGTAACTGACTGACTGTTCACAGCAGTCAGTCATCTACAGTGTGGTTTTTGTTACGTACTTTAGTCAGAGTTTGCATACCACGTTGTCACACAGAGATCGAATTACCAATAGGAATCCCGTAGTAGCAGTAGAGGCAATAGACGTATTGGCGGTAATCAAAAGATTAGGAATCGAAGATCGTTCACATTCGCTATTCGTTTTTCTAAAAACACTGATACCGAGCAGTGGATAATAAGGACTATTCTCCAAATTTTTTGGACAATACTTAAATTGTATCATTAAAAGATAGACCTCGAGAATTTTTTTGGCAGTGTGAAATCGATTTATTTATTATATGTAAGGCAAGTTCAGCTGCATCATCGAGATTCGAGCATTCGAAACCATATATGTCTTCAAAACAGTGAAACCATGAATCAAATATAATATTGGATTCACGGTCATAATGAGATTCATATGTAACTTGTTATGCTTTCATATTTTTCTGGCTGAAAGACTTAAGTAGAATAAACTGATAGTTTTTGCATCAATGCTACCAAAAACTTCATTTGATGCGAATCAGTGTGCTTGCTGAATTTTCTATGGTCATACAAAGAGATGAACGTTTGTTTTTCGAGCCATCCAACAAGTGGGGGAAAATAATTCCCGTTGCCACTTTTGTTGCATTCTTGTTGCTCGTCTACATTTTTTAAAAAACATCGTGTTTTACTCTTGTAAATTTTTAGCAATGTCAAATTGTATATATTGTCATTTTTTTTCTGGGTTTGATTTCTAGTTAGATAATCATTTGACATCGCTTTTAGTATGAATGCGAAAGTTAGTATGTTATTTTCTCCTACTCTATTATGCTTGGTTAGATATAATACTGAAGTTTTCCTTTTCAATTTAAGTTTAGGTGATTTGCTCTTTTTCCATCTGCTAATCATTATCTAACCGCTAAAATTGCATTATCCAGTCATTCTGATCATTTACTCATCCCATCATTACTTGTCACTAGTTAGCCAGTGATCTTTAAATATTTGTTGTATATTATCCCTTTATTGTGTTTAACGGTTATTGAAGCTCATTGACAATTTTCGGACTTCCTTGATTTGTTTAACTACACAACTGAACCTGTAACCCTATATTGTTTATGGGAATCATATATAATATATACTTTATTGTATATTATATATAGATAGATAGATATTATTTTGTTTGTAATTATTTGCTATGCTTTTGTATAGATTATGCGTCTGTTGAACTCACCATGTATCTTTATTATTGACTTTCATGATCTAACATTCCATAATCCCATACAAAACATGAATGGTTTAAACTGGTCCAGAAAACTTTCTTACCCATATAATTAATGTGTTGTATTCATTAAAATTATCCACTTCTACTAAACAAGCATTTTGTTGATCAATTACTAATATTTCTGATTTTCTCCGTACTTTGTTCAATTTATACTACCACTAAGAAAATTACCATACAGTAATTTTGATTTGTGTTCATTTGAAATTAAGTTAATTAGGATATTGTATTTTGCTTCGCTACATTTTTTGTATGTTGTGGTTTTTTATTGACATATTACGAATTAGATATTCTGGGCTTTTGGAAGCACATTCGAAGTTGGTTTGGCATACCTTATTCTGCCAAAATTAGGCTGGAGGTGGCTGGTGTTTGTTTCAGCATTACCATTATTGATTTTCTTATTTTTATTACGGGTAAGACATTGTTATATTTAAATTTTTGATGTATTTATTCTTAGTTATCTGTCATTAGATTAGTCAGAATTCACTAAGGTTGTACTCCAGTAACCATGTAACTGGTTATTTCTTCTTGGATTCATCTGAAATCGTGTGACATTTTTCATTTAAGTTTAGAACTTTCTACTGTCTATTTTTAGAGTTGAATTAATATTATTATTATCTGACTGACCAATCAACAATACTATATTACTTACTCGTTAAACAGATTGCAGCTCTCGTAATCCGCTAATCTTGAGAATAATACCCTAGTAAATGAAGCGATGAATATTAATATTGAAACAAATTAATCAAGATTCAAGTAATCATTCAGCAAGTCGATAACCAACAGTGATTGATCAATTCGGTTATATATATATCCAACGAAACAGTACAATAACCAGTCAGCATTCGCTGTTCCAGCACAGTTCATATGTAATCCTTAAGGATGAATTTTCCTAATATCAAAGTGTAAATCTTTAGTCTACAAGAAATTCACACCGTTGTGAAGCAGCATCGGGAGCTGACAATCAGTAGATGGGTATTTTTGTCTTCATTAGAAACTTCAACGACTTTTAGAGCTTAATCATCCTAATAGTGACTTTTGTAAATTCACTAAAATCCTAATCTGAGGTTGTAATATTCAAGGTAAATATCTTCTCAAAAACTGTGAAACAGTCATTACTAGGCTGAACAAAAGCCAATTTCCATAATAAGGAGAACAATTATCTTAGTAATAACATCACAAAAGTCAAGGGAATTTTATTTTATTTGCTGACATGAGTGGCATGACTCAAACTAATATAGGAAACCTTTCCGTAAACGTATAATATACTGACGACCTTGAGTGACCTATAAGCCAGTCAGTAAACTCAGCGTATTTATACAACAATTAACACCACAAACCAATAAAACAACCGCGGGATAGGAGCCTTGAGCTGATTAATCAACCCGTACAATTTCCTGTACTAAAAAAGGGTTGGGTTTGTATATTCGTAGTGGCGCTAGTTAGGGTTGTCAGTTCGTTAAATTTTCGTCACCAACTGACCTCAGTTATACTGCTAAAAGGTTAGGATCAGGTACTACGAGTTAAGCTTCAGTCTAAGATGGGTTTACAAATTAGGGTTGTGATTTTCACCACGAAACGGCATCAACTACGGTGCAATGCTTTGCTGCTCTTCTGTTTTCAAGCTTACGAAACTTGAAGTTGAAATTTAGAATAAGAATTTGAGTAAGAGAATACTGTCTAGCTTCATTAAACATTTCACTAGGCACTATTTCACAAGTATTTTAACACACAAATTACCTTTGCAAGCAGGTATGTTTTGTAATTTAGCTTAAGCAACATTTTAACTTCACTTTTTGGTTGTGTAACAGGACTTTATTAATTTCAAGCATCTTAAGAACGTAATATTGCCAATATTTACTTCATTAATAACTACTGCATGCAAGTTATCTGTCACTGAACTTTGGATTTCACGCAAAATATATAAGACGTTTTCTTGACTCTCATTGGTTAACTCAATGCCATCAGTATATAATACTTTAACTGAACTTTCTATTGATTTTCCTATTGATTCTTTCATCTTGATAGAATTTCTCTTTAATTGCTTTTCTGATATTATCAACCCATCCCTATAAAGCCTTGGATGATCTATAAATAAGGTAATCAACAATTTTAGCAATTTACACAAACGTTTTTGCTCTGTTTCGTCAATTTAATTGACATTAATTTAATAAATTATCATTGTATTCAAAAAGTCTATTGCGAATTTATTTATGACCCATATGATTGATCATAATTTTTATTTCTACGTGCTAGTAACCTGATTTTCTAAATATTAGTGCTCTGTAGTTGCATGTGCTAGTCAATTTTTATTTGTTGGTGTATTATTATCTCAGGTTATCCCATTCTCTAAATTACTTTAAACTCTCCGTAATATTTTCGAATATTAGTTTCTACCTGAGTCTCCAAGATTTCTTGTTGGCGCCGGCAAAACTGCGCAAGCTGAACGTATTATTGCAGATTTGTTTCGTACAAATCGGATCGCTCCTCTAAATGGTACTCTTGTATCATCTACTGTACCTGTAAGTTGAAAACAAACACTTATTTTGTATTGTTTCATATAATTCAATCCTGTTTCTGCAGTGCATGCAGTTAATCAAATATATGATAAACTCCAGTCGATATTTGTAATTCTCTTTGCGGTTTGATATCATGTTAAAATCTAGGTATTTTTGCTTGTCTCATATTTGGTAGGTGTATTTTATCATGATGGATTTCCTCTAATTTTGTGACATTATCCCTAATCTGTTGTTCAGTATGATTGCTGTCAATAGTTTTCATCACAAACTGACGTATACTGAGAAATCATCCAGAGTGTTATCTCCAGTGTTATCTTCACTTGTTTACTCATTAACAGTCAGTCAGTCAGTTACAACGTGGAACTTCGTACATGAGTACATACGATCAGATTGCCATACCGCAGCAGCGCAGAGTCGCAACTATCAGTTCAAATCCCATAATGGTAGCGATAGTAGAAATATTAGCGGTAATGGAGAAGATCAGGGTTCGAAGATATGATTTGAGAAGTATAATTCAGTGAGATGACTTTGGAAAGAGAAAGACAGAGATGATGAGGAATTCAGATCTTTAGAATTCGAGAGAACACAATAAATGAATGCATCTGCGCTATTGCAAACGATTTTGAGCCATGTCATTCAAAGTCTCTAACCATCGGTGACTTTCATCTCACAGACCCCAACCAGGTAGTCTACATCTAGCAACATGACTCAGTCCACTTGTCAGTGATTTCATGGATTTCTGCCATGTTTTGGTTTGGTCGCCCCTGCATTTCTTCCAACCTACTCCTACACTGCAAAGCAGCTCGTCACGGCAGTCGGTGGTTATTCTTATTCTAAATCCGATAGCTTAATGGTTAAAGTACTTTGATTTCAACTAATAAGTCACTGGCTTTTAGATACTGATAGTGTGGCTCAATACCAAGTATATGAAACTTGTACTCAGTAATTGTCTCATGTCTTCACACGTAACATTTAGAGCAAGTAATTTCTAAAATGTAAGAGTTGCTGGTAGTCCTACATTTCTATTTACAATTGGGTGGATGTATTCCGCCTATTAATCCAACTGTATGTCGAAAAACGTATTCGATGTTTAAAATAAAACATTCCATTTTACTTGTAATGAAAGTGTTTGTCATAGAATTACAAAAGACACACTCTCCTCACATGTTTCGGCTCAGTTATTTGTTAAACACTTTTTATCCATGTTTCTAATGAGGTTAGATTCCAGTTCGATCGGAGTATGCTCATCATTTAGACGTATAGCATTATGAAACGGACGAAGGGCTGGTGTAGCGTGATTCGATCGAGCTATTTATGTCACGATTTCACTGATAACTTGAATTCTCTCTAATAGCGATTTGATAGTTGGTATCACCACTAGAAATTAACGAGGAAAAACAGATAATGACTAAACGAGTTCATCTTCATTCGAACTAATGTTGATCCCATTGAAAGATACGTAGGTACGGGTTAAGAACTACAAATCCCTTCGAATTCAGTTATCTTTGTCGTTCCCGCGATTTTTATCGGGATTGCTTTTATTTAAATGAAGAATGCATCATCTGTTTATACTAACATCATTATCTCTTCGTCTCTCTTATAGATACGAGATAGAGGTAGTATTAAAGGAATGTTTGGAAAAACATATCTGGTGACTACACTGATGTTGCCAATTGTATGGTTCAGTGCAGCGTTCGTTTATTATGGTGTCGTTCTGTTAAGTGCTGAAATATTCCGCTTCAAGCACTCTTGTTTCGGTAGTAAGTTTGAATTCCTGCCTTCTAATAACTGTTTAATCGAGTTTTCGCATTTTTCTTTGCCCAGTAGTACAGCAGTTTTGATTAGCTTTATGAAAAGCCAAAAAAGAAGTAAAAAATAATCTTGTTTGTGATTTTAGTGTCTTTTTAGTACAATAGTTATCTCGTTTTTGGTTTTTTTTTCTTCTGATTGCTTATTAGAACCTATTCTAACCCTAAACTATCGTGGTAACCAGAGCCGTCCTAACGTCCCACCGCTTCTGGGAGTCTCACGTTTAGTGGACAACTCTTGTTGTAAAGAGTTGTCGGATGATGATTATGTGGCTATGTTAGTCTCTTCAGTTGGTGAATTTGTTAGTAAGTTTGATTGTCTTTTTTATGTGTTAAGTTTTTAAACAGTCTTTAAGATGCTATCTGGGGGACAGTGAACAAATATTCCGCTTTTTTGAGACTCTTTGGAATAATGCACCGTTAGTTCTCCTGAGATTCAACTGGGAGCTACCAGTTTTCTCTGGGGTTACATTGGATATTCCTACACCAAGATGTAACAGAAATCGGTAAATGCACGTCTAAGTAGTTTGGTGACTGTGATTCTTTTACTGACTAGGAGTTTTTGAGCAGTAGATTATATGACTAGAAATATGTGCCACAGATCTAATAAGTTTATATTTTCCTTCAATTTTAAGTCACTCGTTTGGTGATTTTATTCAATGGTAATCTAATAATGTGTTCCCCAGTAAGTTTGTATGTACATGAAACATGTTATATTGCTTGTTTACATAATCAGTATTTATGTTGTATCTAGAATCTTATGGTTTCCATTAATGATAGTGTGTTTTTCAATACGCGCATTTATCCGGTAAGATATATTTCTCAGGGTAATAAAATGTAATTATCAGATTCAATAGAATAGTGGTTGTCAAAGGAAGTTGAATATTCACTTCGTTCTATTTTGATTTTACTTTCATGGTCCATGTTACTCTTAGGAAAATTTAGCCATCTCATTCACTTTCTCAGACTGGACGTATTATCGATGTTGACATTTGCTTCTGATATCACTCTGGATGGTCTTAGACAAAACAAAAGTAATCCTGACTATGTTTAAATTTCCAATTACTGTTCAAAGTTGTTGATGAATGTAAGGTGGTGGATTATCGATTTCTGATTGATTCAGACAATTAGCGCATTAATATTTCTTAACGTAAAAGAATTGTTTAAAATCTCTAACTGTACCTTATCTATCAAGTAGTCTTTTCTTTCTTCACATAATTTAAATCCAGCTACTATTCATTTCGTAAATTTCCTTTCTATGGTTATCACAGTCAATTGTCTATTTTCCTTCTCCAGGTATACCATTAATGATCCTCATGGTTGACTTAGCTGGAAGAAAGATTACCTTAGCTGCTTGGAATGGACTCATAGCTGTTCTGTTTATGTTGCTTTATCTGTGTATGCCTAAACTAGCCATAACAGCTCTATTGTTTGTTTTGCGTGCTTTGTCCGCCGGTTTATTTAGTCTTGCATATGTTTACACAACCGAGGTAAGTTTTTACTCATGAGTCTGTTTGAATTTATATGTTGATAATTTTTGTGTTGCATTTATTCGTAAGTAATTTTAGTCAACAAGCGTATTGCAATACTCACAGAAGTGTGCTTTAACTATTTGAATGAAAGAGATCACCTGTGAAAAAGACAATGTTATGTTTTTTGTTCAATTGTAAGAGCGATTGAAATTCAAAAATACAATGGTTTGATATTTCACTCATAGAATACTATTTTTATGGAATGCTAGTAGTATCATTTTGATTTATTTCCACATTTCCGTCGTACTTAATATAGTTTTGATAGCCAACACAGCAATCGGACCTAAAACTTATTTCGCGTAAGTAATAAAAATAATTTCCTTTGAATTCAGACAATATTGTTTTGTTTATCAGCTAGGTGTTCTGATGAAATAAACAGCTTCGTTTTCCACTTACCTTCTAACTAGGTCATTGCATAAAACCACCGTCACATTTCACTCATAGTTTTACTAAACTGTTATTATTGACTCATTATTTCAAGAGATCCTTACTAGTTTATACTTTGGGTTTTATCAATTAAAGCCACAGTATTGTATACAACCCCATCACTTATCTTTATGTTCAGGTTTATCCTACAGCTGTCCGTGCAGTGGCCGTCGGGATATTCAGTTCAATTGCCCGGTTAGGTGCAATGATCACACCTTATGTAGCTCAAGTAATGTTGCCAGAAGTATCGGAGATTGGAGCCTTATCTTTATATGCTTCTATAACCCTATTGGTCTCAATCGTATCCTTCTTTCTACCAATAGAAACAAAAGGGCGTCAGCTACCTGTATGTTTTATATTTTATTTTTCGTTGCTTAGCTCCTCATTTAGCAAGTTTAGTGCTTCTATTATATTTGACCTTAACCCTAAACAATTTAGTTGATCAATATACAGAAGCTGTTTGTCTGGTATTAATTATTATTCATTTGTATGTGTGCACATACTGTTCATTCAATGAAACCGACTGCTATTACAATAATAAAGTAGGCAATTTAAAGGGAAGTTTCTCATCGTAATTAGATGAAGACGCTGTAAATAACTTTACTTTATTTTCATATAAGATCCTACTATAACGAGTACGTGAATCTTATTCTTCTGAATCCGATGAATGAACTCCCTAAGTTATAATTATTATTACATTACCGTTGAATTTCGATGTTTCTTTTTAGACCTATGTATGCTTTCATTTTTTGTTCACTAGTTCAAATTCTCTTGTTTCAATTGTCTATTCCGTTTCAGAGTTCTGTGGACGCATTGTCTACTTCTTCCGTTTCAACCGGAAATCCACTGCCTAGTACTCCAGTAACCAGAAATGCATCATCTAGAACCGCAGAATAACCATATTCTTTATATTAATCGACGTCATTTTCATGTTTTCTGTGTTTTGAAACTATAACATCCCTATATTCACTTGTCTTTCTTATATTTTCCTTATAATATTCACTAAAACAAAATTATTTTGATGTCTGTTTTCATGAGGTGAAGTGAATATTTAAAAAGCCTTTTTTACTTAATTTTTGTCACTACATTCATGTTGTAACTAATCGGATCGAATAGAATTGTCAGTAGGTTTAAAACAGAATAATATTGTTGAAGACCATTAAAAACACTTTGTTTTCCCTCTATTTTTGTATTACATTTGTCGTTGTTATAACTTTTTTTTTAACGTCTCAGGCCTATTGTGATAAACCTATACTCAAAATAAAAGAAATCGTCATTTATGTAATTTTGAATTTAATGTCTTTGCATCTTTTCCTTTACATTGCGCACGTTCTCTTTTCTTTTGTGTTTTTGGACTGTTGTGGATGAAATCAATAAATATTGTCACTACAATAATTTGACGTGTACTTTTGTTATATATTTATGCGATTTTCGCCATAAACGATAACTCAATGTCATGGATTAATGGTTAGTTGTCCTTAAGTGGTTATTGAGCAGTAACACATAGTCGAATCAATGACTCTCACCTGACACAGATTGACTAGAATCCAATTCATCATATCTGATAGTTTATCGTCGTGTTAATATAATAAACGTACTGTAGTATGTAATTCCTCCCGTCTTTCAGTCACTGTTGAATTATTCATAGCTTACAGTTTAGTTGTATTTTAGTGCGTAACATGAAGTATTCTGACATTTTTGATTCCTATTTACTATTGTATTAGGTTCAGGAACGTTTAAATTATTTTGAATACTCGGTCATATGTTTGATCAACGATGTACGCGCTTCTGTAACACACTGTTTGTAGTATAGTTCCATAGCCAACTTCATGTATTATCTTAATTGTTCTTATGCGTATAGACTCAGGTACCTACTATCCGATATGTGATCACATTGTAAATAGCTTGTGGAGCCCTTAAAGGTGTTGACGTATCGACTGGAAAATATTTGTAATTAATTACTTAATTTACTAACAACATATAAATCAATTATGAACTTTCATGATTATTGATTTGTTCTTTGCACGAGATTAGTTCATTTAACGCCCTACCCAAAATACTGTTCAACTAACGGGGAAATGAGCATATTATAATTCCAATAGGGATCACATTATTACAATGTACACTTCACTGTTTGAATACTTTCAAGCCTTCTGCATAAACGAACGACACATATTCAACAGTTCTACTGCCAAACAAGTTCATTACAATGACGACCAGCTGGTAAAATAAAATATAATCTTCCCAGCTAATGAGAATCAATTCGCATCACAAGAATGCAACAAAAATTATTCAAAAAGAAACAGTCGTTTACGGGCATACTCAGAAAGTTCTCTAACTTGTTTTGATCTAACTCGATAAAAATGTATGGCTAAAACCTTATGTAATCTGATTCTTGCTCTGCTCGGTAGTAATCAAGGCGGTGTGATGTCCCTATAAATTTTAAATTAACGTCGTTAGCTCTTCTGTCACGGTTAGTTGTTTCCCTAAAACTTGACCCAGACGCAGAATGTATTTAAACATTGTTATTATCTAAACCTGGCTTTCAGCTGTGTTATGGTGTACGAGTGTATTCCACATAACTTTGACAGTAGATGTAAGATTACTTGTTTGATGAATAACGCATTCTCTTTTCATTTGGACAGTCAGGTAGTATAATTTTCCCCATATGTAATTAATGCGATTGAAAACAACAACGTGTTTTTGTTACTACGTTGGATTATCTGATTTCGGGTGCTATCAAGTCTTTAAATCTCAGGTGTAATTGCCTAGTTTTCCTGGGTGTGATTTAGTGTTTCACTTACCGAAACTGAATCATCACTATTGTAATAAAACTCCATTCTGCCACAGAGATGAACTTAAACTATTTTTCCAATGTAGACTACATTAGATCAAAGTTGCACTTACTTCAAAAAAGCGAATCATAATTCTTAATGCTAACTGCCAAACTGATAAATTGGTTTTCTGAGGTATATATTATTTAACAGTAAAACCAGTTTACTCAAAACAGGATATCTTTTGCGTGTCTCTCTCGGTAGCGAATAATTATCTTTGCCTCAAATAACATGATGATGTTGAGTCGTATCACTAAACATTTGCTTGGTTAACACACTAAAAAAGGTGTATACGTAGCACTTATTGATAGAGAATTTCATGCTGGAGAACGAAATAACCTCGTAGGAATAATATTCATGATTAACGAGATCCGAGTTTCAGGCATTTATTACTGTAGGGTCGCTTTAATCTCAACACAAACATCAGCAGGCATGAAGCGTAAAACAATAGATTATCGAATGCTCACTATTTTACTCCCCAAAACCTATTTGCTATCAAATATATCCTCAGTACGATTAGTATTACACAGATTAATTCAAGTAAGTAAAGGTAATTGATTCGAGTCATTCCATACCTATATTTTGTAAGAAAAACGAATTAGGATGCAACCAAACTTGGGCACCCGTATCCACTTGGTATCTAGAGTCAGCGCGAAAATCGTGCACATAAAACAAACGAGCAACAAGGAGGGTTTCAAGTGAGGGATTGTCTTGTGACGCAGTTGGGTGCTTCTCACAGTGTGTCCTATCCACTTCCCTCGCCTGTTCCTGATTTCCTCCGCTTAAATCTGGTTCGTTCTAGCTCACAGTAAGTTGTTACTGATCGTGTCTGGCCAACGAATCCGAAGCATTTTGTGTAGACAACTGCCAATGAATACTCGTATCTTCTGGATGATGGCTGTCGTAGTTATCCAAGTTCCCACTACATATAGTAGAACTGTCTTGAAATTTGTGGTGAAAATTGAAACTTTGGTGTATGTTGATAATTGTTTTGAGTTCCAGTTTTACTTCAGTTGTAAAACTGAAGCCCTCACCTTGCCGATCCGCACCCTCACATCTGCATCGGAAACACCTCGCTTGTCAATGACGCCAGTAAGATAGGAAAAGTTTTGACGTCCTCCAAGGCATCCATCAAGTGTGATTTAGATTGCGCATTTTGTGTTGTATCGGCGGAGAATCTTGCTTTTCTCTCTATGTATGTTGAGAGCTGTTACTGCTGATGCTAATTCTACACTAGTCGTCTTCTCTTGCATTTGTTGTTGCGTGTGCGATACAAGAGCATGATCATCTGCGAAGTCCAAATCGTACTGCTGCATCCTGGCTATCCACTGTATACCGTACTTCCCATCCAGATGTTGACGTCTTCATAGTCAAGTCTGACACCTATCTTCACCTCGATCGAGTCTGTAAGCTGTTCTCCGTGTACGATTTCGCAGTTCAATCCATCATAATAATTCCGTATCTTTTCAGTCATGTGGTACTATAGAAGAAGCACACACACAGTGTTTTCCTATCCACACTATCAAATGCTTTCTCGTAGTCAATGAAGTTGATGTAGAGTGGTGAGTTCCATTCAATTGATTGTTCCACAGTGATCCGTAATGTTGCGATTTGGTCGGTACACGATCTATCCTTACGAAATTCCGCCTGTTGATCCCGAAGTTGGATGTCTACGATGTTCTTTATTGTGTTTAACAATATTTTTTCGAAGTGTTTGCCTGGTATTGAGAGAAGAGCGATGCCCTTAGTTCTCACACTTGTTGAGATCACCTTTCTTTGGTATTTTGATGAGGTATCCTTCTTTTAATTCTGATGATACATTTTCTTCATTCCAAATCTTGTTAAAGAGAATGTTGAGTATTTTGTCAGTTGCTGTCACGTCTGCTTTCACTGCCTCTGTCAGACATTGGATTGATGATGGATTGAAGATTTGCAAATTAGCGGTTACGATACGGTTTTCCTATTTTACTGAGTAACTCTGTAATTTTCGTTAAATACAATTCGGTTGCCCTCACCTGTGTTCTCCTTCACTACATTTGGTGTCGCTGCCTGCACGAAGGAAGGAGCTCCAGTGGCCGAGGGATTTTGAGGCTGTTGTGGGGCTGGTGGGTGTGAAGGGGCCCGGAGCGGAGTTGGTGGCGCTGGGGACGCTGCGTGGAGGTGAGGCAAGGGCTGTATACGACAGCTTGGACGGTGCCGCCGGGAAGACGGAGTGGTAGACGGTGACGGAGTTTGTCGGCTCATTGGACAGGGAGGAGTAGCCGCAGAGGTTCCGGCTGGCGAGGTTGTCTGTCGATTGTGACCCACTGGTGCTGGCTGTGGAGCTCACGATGTTGCTGCGCCGTGCGCTGCCGAGTATGGATGGGGAGTCGGGGGCACAGTTGTTGGCGTCGCAATTTATCGAGAGTGTGCCTGCCGCCGTGTCCCAGCAGCGGGAAGTAGTAAACGCTACACGTTGGATAGATGCCGCATCCATTCCAGAACAGCGCGCAAGAACAATGACCGAAGTGGTAATCCGGCATATTGTAGTGTGTCACGGAATACAGAAGGTGATATTAACTGATTAGGGTCCCTGTTTTGAAAGTGACGAGTTTAAAGCCCGTCTAAAGCAGTTTGGCATCAAGAGGATGCGAACTACACCATATCATCCGCAGATAAACGGGCTTACAGAGGGAAACAGCCGGACGTTAAAGGAATGGTTAGCGTCTAGAGGAGGAGATTGGGACAAAGAATTACCATTGATTTTGCTGATCCCAAAGTGTGAAGGACCGTACGTTATCACGGAGAGACGCGGCGCGGTTTACACGGTCCGGAGAGAAGACAAGCAGAAGCGTTACTTATAGGTAGTATATGACGTGAGTGTAAACGTAATGTCTGGCAGCAGAAGATGGGGGAAGATCAAAAAAGGAAGAGTGGGAACACAATGGAATTTGTATGAAACGCATGAATAATGAAATTTCAGACAATGGATTGATGATGGATTGAAGATTTGCAAATTAACGGTTACGATATGGTTTTCCTATTTTACTGAGTAACTCTGTAATTTTCGTTAAATACAATTCG